AATAACTCCTTGTCTGGGACCTGCTACTGCGGCAGGGCCGGCCACGGCTGCCAAGGGCCAAGGCAGCGGGAGCTGGTACCTCCCACCTCCTTGGGCTCTGGCCATTGGGGAGCGATGCCCAGCTGGCCACAGCCGTTCCTCCTGCCCACCAGTAGGACACGTGGAGGGCAAGCCGGGCCAGTCCTCACGCTCCGTCCGTTTGGCGGCTAGTGATGGGCCATTGTGCCTTGTGTGGCTGGCTTCACCACGGGCAGAGCTGGTTTGTGGGGGGATTCTGGCAGGAACGCAGCGTTCCAGCTCTTCCTACGGCAGTCTCCTGGGCTCCTGGAGTTCGTGCTCTCACCACTTTCCAGCTCTCCGCCTGTCCAGTGGGCTGATGTGTGGGTGACAGAGAGGACTCGGAGCAGCTGTGGCCAGGAGCTCGCGGCCTGCCGAGAAGCATGTGCCCGGGGTAGTGCCTCCTTTCATCTGTGGGCAGCCGTAGGGCAGCTCCCCAGGGCTCCCTGTCCCCATGGGCTGAGCTTGGGAGTGGAGGCTCCCACACTTGGGAGAAGTGTCCAGTCATGAAAACCTGACGGGAGGTAGTTCTGAGCAGGAAAACATGAATAAAATCGTCAACTCACTTTCAGCCTGCTTAAAATAACCCCTTTAGCTTTCCTTCAGCCTCCACTGTTCATTTCCCAGGAACGCTTCAGATGTTTCTCTGCCTGTTTCTCAGAGAACCTATGCCATTTTTATCTCTGTTCCCAAGCTTTTTCATGATCGACTGAGACCAACAGAAACGGTGGGGAATTTCTGGTGATTCCTATTTCTTTTTCTTGGGTTTTCCCCAGGCCTGGCCCAAGAAGGCTGGCAAAGTGGGGGCAAGTCCCAGCGCAAGGCCCAGCTTTGAAGGAAACTCTAGACCTCACCAGCATTTCCCTTCTCCTGAAGTGGAAGGAAATGAGGAGGGGCTCACTAGGCTGGGGGTGCAGAGCAGGAAAGGGAAGGGAACTCTTCAGCCAGAGCTGCCTCTCTCCTTGGCTTCACTGGGGCTGCCGGGGGTCAAGTGGGGAGTGAGGAAACCTTGCCATGGGGGATGAGCCCTGGCCGATGTGAGACCCAGGCAGGCGATTGCCCAGGCCCCAAACTGGCAGTAAAGCAGAACAGCCTTGCTGGAGAAGGCCGAGGCCCGCCTTCAGGCTTTTCCCATTATAGGTTTTTATTATTAGACTCCTTTCTTGCTGGTCCCCTGGTTTAGGAATCTGTCCCAGAGTTGCTTTCAGTTTGAGTTCATCTTTCCCTTCCCCCAGCTCCTGTTGTGACAGTATGACTGTGACTTGTCTTCCTCGTGCTCTCCCTGAGGTCTCCCAGTGTTCACATCCCCTAAGGATGATGGTATTAAATTGCCTTAGTCTTGGGGCTGGCAGGTGGCGTGGTGGTTAAAGGTGCTAGATTTCCACATGGCCAACTGCGGTTCCAGTCCCAGACCTGGCGGTTTGCTTTCTCACTTTCCCTTTTTCTCTCTCTCTGTCTTTCTCTGGTCAAATTTTAAAAATAACAATAATAATAATAACAAATGGAAATGGATAAATGATAATAATATAAAATAAACCGCCTTAGTCTTAAAGAACCAGAGAGGGATTGAAGAAGGTATAAAGGATTGTTCTGTAGTCAGAGTATTGAGGAGCAATTGACAAAAGAGAGATGGAGACAGAGAGACAACCGAGAAAGCAGAGGGCAGGCCTCGGGGTGTCAGATCAAATTATTTTCAGGAAGGAGAGAAGAACTGGAATACCTGTTATAGATACATATAGTATAAAATATTTGTCATTTAATCCTCATAACGGCCTGTGCAGAGGGTGAGATTATCTCCAAATTACAGATGAGTTCACCAAGGTTCACTGGCACTGAGAAGCCCAGGGTTGATCTCGGGCGCTCCGACTCTGAAGAACTTCCTCCCCTGTTTGGCGAGGGTCTCAGTGAGGAGCTCACGAGAACTGAGCTCAGCCTCTGCCATCCCAGAGCCCACAGCCCCGGGGGAACACTGAAGAGAAATGTCAAGGGAACAAACCTTTGACTAAGACCGGAACCATGTCAGGTTTGCTCCCTGGCTGTCCCCGGAACTCAGGAAGCAGCCCTTCCTCAGGGCAGAGTGGCTTCCTCAGGACATTGAAGCCCTGCCGGGCTCACGCCTCTTATCAGGTGGAGGCAGAAGCCCTGACGCCCTTGTCTGGCAGGAAGAGAACCACCCGGGCCAGGCCCTGGTCCTGCCCCCTTGGCAGGTGGCTCCCCCGGCAGTCAGTGACCTATTTCTTGTAACAGTGCTAGGTGGGGCCTTCCATTCTTCATCTCTGTCCCCACCACACTTCACCCTGAAGAAGCAGAGAAGGCTGGGATCACCCTCCAGGAAGTGCCGCCCAAAGCTCCAGGCGGAGGACACGGGCCCGCCGTCAGAGCTATTTCATGCTTTGTCCTCCCATTTCCATGTTCAGGTTCATCTTTCTGGAGGATCGAAGGTTTGATGGGCCTCTTTCACACTCTTAGGCTCCCAGGGGGGTGACTGCTCAGTCGCTGAAGCCCAGAGGGACCAACCATTTCCTCCTCAGTTCACCTGGCGGGGACATGTGAGGCCACAGCAGCTGACAGTGGGTGGCTGGGGAGGAAGCTGGCGTAGACAGGATGCGGTGTCTGTTCCAGCAGTGACGGGCTGCCCACTGCCATCCCCACCCCCAGCCCTAGCAATGCCTTCCAGAGGAGATAGCAGAAAACCAACATCACAGCACACACCTGGGAGGAACAGCCAGCAGACAGGGGTACGCTCGGGGTGTGCAGAGAGAGGACTGTTTCTGCTCCGTTCTGTCTTGGGTTCCACTGGCAGCATCCTGGCCCTGTTAGGCTGCAGACCTCCCTGGGCCTGCCTTTGCCCTTTGAGGCTGTTTCATTTAGGCCTCCTGCTCCAGTCCTGGCATCTGCACAAGACTGGGCAGGTGACCCTTAGCCAAGTAGTGCCAGTGAGAACACCCAGGGCTTGCCTTTGCCTGTCCTGCCATCTGCACTCTGGGCTGTTGGGAAGACTCCGTCAGGCAGATTGTGGGGTAGGGGGAGCCCGGGGAGAATGGGAGACGGGGTCTCTTCCTCCTCCTCTTCTCTCACCTGCCCCGCTTGTGTAGTTCTCAGTTCTACTCGCGAACTCCAACCAGAGACCCTGACCCTGCTACCTCTGTTGTGCCGTAGTGATCCTATTTTAGCCGGTAACAGGACCCAAAGCGCTGAACTGGGACCTCTTCACCATAGGCTTGCCCTCAACTTGCTCTCCACCAGGCACACGCCAGGAGTTGGAGACCGGAAGAACACATATGGCCTTTAGGAGCCAGATGAGCACAAACCTGGTCTAATAGCCTCTGTGAAATAAGGGCATGATACGTAGGTAAACACAGGATTTTTTTTTTTTTTTGGAGAGGTTTTTGCTATAGGGCGCATGCGCTCGCCAGACAGACAGAGAGAGACATAGAGACAGAAAGCAAGAAATAACCCCCCAGGGGGGATGGCCACACTGCAATCCCTTCTCCTCCATTCTCCTCTCGGGATCTTGGGCACGCATTCACACGTGCCCGGCGTGAGTTTTAAGCCACCGGGTCCGGGACACGAACCGTGGTCGACTACATGGGAGTCCAGCAACATAG